AAATTTAGTTTAATTCATGATTGGTAACATTTTTGACTTAACTATGAGTTACACCCATAACTCAATCTTAACTCATGGTAACTCATGTTACCAATCACATCCAAGTTTGATTCATGATTGGTAATATTTTTGAGTTATCAATGAATTAGACCCTTAACTCAAACTAAATCAATACCAACTCATGCTACCAATCAAAGCCTAAATGGTTTATTCACTACAACAAATACGCTGGAATACGTCATTTAGTTTAAGTCGTTTATGTAACTGACGTTAACTATTATTATTAGACCGTATTTGCCGTCCCTTACATAACTGACGTTAAATTTTTAAAATCAAAAATCTTATCTCAAATCAATTTGCTTAGTGAGACGCGGACGTTTCCAGAAACACAACTTTTTACTTTATGGAAAATCAATTTCTCAAAATTCATCAAATCTTCTCGAGATTAGGGTTTATGATCCGATTTGGTGATTACTTTGAAATTGATCTTCTGTGTTGCTCATTTCAGATTCAAAGGTGTAAAATCAGAATTCGATTTGATCCTTTGGTTTGTTTCTCTGCTTCCAACGCTTATCCTTTGGAATCGATCTTCTGTGTTGCACGTTTTAGATTCAAAGGTGTAAATCAGATTTTGATTCGATCCTACAGTTTGTTTCTCTGCTTCCAACGCTTATTATTTGGAATCGTTCGAGATTCATATGAAATTTGCTTTTTAAGAATTTTGTTGTGAATCTGAGTATATAGCTTGATTACAACAAGATCGTTGAAGGATACGAAGAATTCGTGATAATTTTTTTATTGTATTTACACAGGTTCGTCTCAGATTTCAGAAATCAAAACATGAATTGAAGGTAATGTTTAGTGTTCGATTTAAGGTTGCTTCAATATCTTTGTGAGAGTTTTATCCCCAAATTAAGTGAATATGGATGTTTCTCACTGTTGAGTCAGACCATATTCCTTGGATTAAACAATAAAGGATAAGGTTTTTTTCTTTCTGTTTTCATCTTAAGTATTGATGCTTCTTAGGTTGAAGTTGATATGGTTTGATGGAATTTGGGTATTTCAGGAGGAGAAGTTGCCCTATTCTTTGTATGTATCAGACGAGAAACTTGTTGTGTCCATTGGAACTTACATGGAGCAAAGACAAGGTGGCGTTTTTTGTTTCTTTTGTGAATTATAATAACAAAAGATTAAAATTTCATCTACTTGATTGTTTCTTTTGTGGCAAATTTCAGTGTATGTGGAGAAGATTTTGACGAGAGTGTATCGCCAACAAGCTGTTTTCCGAACTCGACCATTTAACGTATTTCTGCTACCATTGCTGGTATATATGTCAAAAGTTTTACTCTCTCCATGTTTCTCTTCTAGACTTGAGTTTCATTGATTTATGTGCTTATTCTTAAATATTATTAGGTCATGAGGTTATCGTTCTGTGTGTTTAATTTTGTCCGGATGGTAAACACTTAGCAAACATAACAAGATTAGACATGTTAGAACAGATTCTGAAGTTCTCTTGGTGATATGAAGATATTTGATTTCATTTGAATTGATGGTAAAGACTTTCTATTAAATATCACCAATTAGGTACCTAGTTTTGGTAAGAAACCATGCGTGGGTGGGGCAAATAGATGGTTTTCCAGAAACTTAAGCAGTTATGAATTGATCAAAAACTTAAAAAAGCTATGAATGAGAGTCTTGAATTATATTAGTTGATTAAGCAAGTGCGTGAATTAAATTAGATTTCTCAGTAACTTGTAGTTGTGATCTGTTCTCAAGAAATTCAATTCTTCTATTGAAAAAAGTGAATAATGTGTCATGTGTGCACTTTTTTATGTCTTGGCGATGATGCTCTTGTAGGTCTAACATTAACATTAAGGAGGAATGGAGGATGGTATAGCCCTTTGCTAAAGTATTTATAGTTCTGCATCGAATAACTCTGGAAAGGTTAGTCCTTGAAGCAATCATTCTCATATGTTCAAAGATTAAAATTTGGTTGCAAACGCCTTAGTATATGAAAATGATTTTGAATTGTTGTTTTTCTTTGGTAGGTGCAGAATTTGGCGACTCACAGCCTTACTTCTAAGTGGAATGATGATTCTTCAATCCATAACACAACTTTATAGAATTGTAACTAAAGTTCTCAAGACTGTTAAAATCTGTGTACATACATACATATATTATGTAAATTGTAGTTACAGATTTTCTTAATTAATTACATTTTTATTTGATTCATTGTTGAAATTCAGTTACTCA